TTGATGGAGATTAATGAGCTGGAGGGACCAACTTTAAGTAGGAAGTGAGGGGGGGAATGGAGAGCGGAATTAAATATTTAAGCTTGACTAAACGACAATTAAAGGGAGTGGATAGGGGTGCGGTAGGGGAAGAAGGAAGATAAATATTTCAAGGGTGTGATGGCTGCTCTGGGCTTTTGTGTGTGTGTGTGTGTGTGTGTGTGTGGCAGGGGACTAATGGAGGAACTGTTTACAACAACTGGAGGAGGGGAGGAACATTTGAGAAGGGATCAGGAAAAATTCCTATTATACGTATCAATTGGGGGGGTGGAAAGTGCAGAGAAGAGCAACTAGGATGATTAGGGGACTGGAGGCTAAAACGTAGGAAGAACGGCTGCAGGATTTGGGTAGGAAGGAAGGAAGATGGAAGGAAGGAATGAAAGAAGGAAGATGGAAGGAAGGAAAGAAGGAAAGAAGATGGAAGGAAGATGGAAGGAAGGAAGGAAAGAAGGAAAAGATGGAAGGAAGGGAGATGGAAGGAAGATAGAAGGAAGGAAGGAAGATGGAAGGAAGGAAGGAAGACGGAAAGAAGGAAAGAAGATGGAAGGAAGGAAGGAAAGAAGATGGAAGGAAGTTAGAAGGAAGGAAGGAAGGAAGGAAGGAAGGAAGGAAGGGAGTGAGTGAGTTACTGGATTTGTTCCTCAAAATCGTCTCTTCATTCTCGCCCACCCTTGGTACGACCAGCCTCTCCGGCGCAATACAAATGCTGCTGCTTGATATAATTTTTTCTAAATAAAGAAATAACCATAAGGGGGGGAGGGGAGGGAGGAGAAGAGCCCAGAGAGGGAAAACAAACATTTCTTTTAACCTTGCCCTGTTTTCTCCAGCTCCTTCTGCAATGAGTAGAAAGCTGCTTCCCCCTCCGCCCCCCTCACCCCCCACGTTAGCGTGGGCATCTAGTGGTAGTAGAAATGCTTTGCTTGGGGTTGCTTCTGCAGTGTGGGGGGGGAGGGAAGCAGGGAGGGGGGAAAGAACCCAAGGTGATAACAACTTTTCCCGCAGAATGGATGGGAGGGGGAGGGAGGGAGGGAGGGAGGGGGCAGGATTTCTACAGGCAGGATGGATGGTGGGAACGTTAAGGAACAGCCACAGCGCCATCTAGGGGAAACTTAAGACAGCCTGCCTCTTATAAGGAGGAGGAGGAGGAGGAAGATTCAGGATGAAGCTACAGGTGTGGTATGGGACAGGACCTCACCTGCCCAGAGGTGCTGCAGGTAGGGATTTGCGAAGGCTTCCTTCCTTCAAGGAAAACACCTTTCGAATCAGGAGAAAAACTCAATGTTGAAGGGAATGAAACAAGTTAAAACCCCTCTTGTATCTAGCGGCGTGCTGTGAAAAACCCTGACTCGCTTCATACATGATGGCTTATTTAGAACATGGTTTGTGAGAACTGGGTAAACTTAAGGAAGAGTTGATGATTTGTGCGAATAAGCAGCCATTTGATATTGGGTTATCCTACGCACCTCTTATCCTGCATTATATTCCATTATTATTACTCATGTTATCTATTTTGTGGAAATAAAACTTTCCCCTCGCACATAGGTGCTAGTCGTTCCTGACTCTAGGGGGCGGTGCTCATCTCAGTTTCAAAGCCGAAGAGACAGCGCTGTCCAAAGGCGTCTCCGTGGTCATGTGGCCGGCATGACTCAACGCCGAAGGCGCGGTTCAAATCTCACCGGCTCAGGGTTGACTCAGCCTTCCATCCTTCCGAGGTGGGTAAAATG